CAGCCTGGTCTTTATCCTGGAACAGAAGGCAAGTTGGCAACATCGCAGACTCTGGAGTCATCTAGCCTCAGGTTGAAGCTTGGTTGCACCACCTCCTGGTATTGGTGTCACAGGCAGGTCATTCCATCTAATTGCCATTCCATTTCTTCACATGCAAGAGAAGGGACCTGATAGCACCTTCCTTATTGTTATACGTTCAGAAGTTTCCAACACACCAGCATATTTCTCTTCATGTAGTACCATGTGAGTCCTAGCCTCTTTTTATTTCCCAAGTGTTTTCTCCCCGATTATATAATGAAATCCTAGAAGTCTCTGTATCCCCAGCATCCAGAAACTACTATTTGGACAGGAACTTTTCCTGTGACTGAAGCAACTGAAGGGAGGAGGAGCTTATTTTGGTTCACAGTTTCAGGGGATTTCTGTCCATCAAGGTACAGAAAGCACGGTGGCAGGAGTGGCTAAGCCCATGCTGGGAGGACATGTATCAGAGCAGCTGTTCACATCTTGGCCAAACAGGAAGCAAAAAGGATGGGACCAGAAGTCTGGTCAGGCTATAATGCTCAAAGGCCTGCCCGGAGTGACGCTCTGCCTCCAGGTGAACCCCGATTCCTAAAGGTTTTACAGTCTCATGAAAACGAAGCCATTGCTTGTGGACTAAGATGCAGACATTGCATCCTGTGAGGAACATCGCACACTCAAATCCAAACAGTACAGGTTATCTTAATGAATGTGTCATTTGTTTATGGGCTAGCTGTGAGGTCACAGCACTGCTTCAGTGAGTTTCTGTTCCCTAGTGGGTCAGCAGCAGGTGCAGCCCATGTCTAGACAGGCTTATAAATGCTGAGGATCTGAGGGAGTTGTCTGGGGATTGGGTTCCTCTCAGTCTGCCTTCCTTATCACTAGGCCCTACTCCCTGCCTCTCAGAGGCCTGTCAATATGGCTGTTACTTATTCTACTTATGCAAAGGGGCTTTGTAATTCAACACTTTTGCCCAGGGCTGGAAATGTGTCCTTTCCCATTGTGAACATTTGGTCTCTGTGGCATTCAGAAGAGGAGAATGTGCCAGGACTTTGGGATGTTGTCACAGTCAAGTAAAAGGAAGAAAGGGATTCTTCAGGGACTCAAAGTGAAGAGGGGACAAATACCAGAAGGCCTAGCATGCCCTCAACTCTCCTCTTTTGTGTCTTGGTGTCTTGGTGAGTGATTCAATTCTTGGTCATTTCTCCCCACAAACAAAAACCATTTTTGCTAGAGAACTGGATCCCACCCTAAGGCCCTCAGCTAAGGATGTCCAGAGTTTAGGCAGGCTTCATCAGGAAGCAACAAACACAACTGTGGAAGCAGAGGCCTGGAGGATATGAGAGAAGGAGATTCAGTTAAGAAACTGATTTCAAGAAAAGGAAAGTCATTTATACGGGCATCTAGAATTTTCTGCACACCTGTGCTTCAGCAGAGGCAGTTAGGGCAGGACTCAGGCTAATATCGTGGACAGAAAACAACAGCAGCTAAGACGGTGTGTCAGAACTCCTGGTCCCTCCAGCACAGATCATGTCATCTACCCTCTATCAATGCTCAGGGAGGGCCTAGAGAGGCCCCAGCATGTTGGAAGATTGCTTGACGGCCTTCTGCATCAGAGCCCTGTCCCCTTTCTCCTCTTTCCTTCTATTCCTTCTCTATACCTTAGAGTTCTCAGCCTTTGAGTCCTCTTTTTTTTAATTTATTTTATTTTTAATAGTGTGTGTGTGTGTGTGTGTGTGTGTGTGTGTGTGTGTGTGTGTGCAATAGCAGGTGCCCGTGGAGTCCAGAAGAGGGTATCAGATCCCCCGGAGCTGGAGTTACAGGACTGTGAGCCATCCTACTCAGGTGTTCAGACCTAAAACTTGCATCCTCTGCAAGAGCAGTGTGTGCTCTTAACTGCTGAGCTGTCTCTCTAGCCCAGTTCCTCATTTGGAAGGAGTCATTCTTCATTTGTACATCTTCTCCCAGAGCTGTTTGCAGAAACCGGCTTTGATTTTTATTCCCCCTCCACCTGCAGCCACCTTTCCATTGACTTAGGGTCACCTCCCCACTTTCCTCCTCACCCCTCTTCCCCACTTTCTGGGGACTCTTCCAACTCCTTGATTTTGTAATTCCTGTGGTCTCATCTTTCTCGTCTTGGTCAGCCTGCACCTGCCTGATTGCTACCCACAACACTTTATGATGTTGGCAATGGCCCTGGCTGGGCAATCCGGGGCCTTTGGCTAACTTACACTGACAAATTGCTGGGCGACCCTGGGTCACCTTTTAAGTTGGTCTGGCAAGGATCTTATTTGTTTGGATTAAGAATAAATTGCAATGTTACTCTGTAATGTTTTTCCACCCATTCAAAATTACTGAGCACTTAGTGCATTCTGGTGATGTATTTTGGCTGTGGGACAGGGATGTAAACAGGATCTAGTTTTTAATCAGAGTCACAAGTTGGTGAGCAGTTTGCTGTTTTGTTGATAACCAAACCATTATATTACAGTGAAAAAGACTTGGATGGATAGGTGACTTAGAGCTTCTGTCACTGTGATAAGACACCATAACCAAAAGAAATGGGGTGGGGGGTGAAATGGTTTGTTTAAGTGTACATCTTATAATCCTTCATCGAGGGAAAACAGAGCAGGAACCCAGAGACAGGAACTGATGCACACACCATGGAAGAATGCTACTTATTGGCTTGTTCTGCATGGTTTGCTCAGTCTGCTTTCTTATACACCTGCCTTGGGGTGGCTCCACCCACAGTGAGCTCTTCCATAGCAAAATAACAAAATGCCCTATATACTTGCATACAGGCCAATATGATGGAAGCATGTTCTCAGTTAAGGTTCCCTCTTACTGAATGCTCTAGCTATGTCAAGTTGACAAAACAAAGAAACAAAATAGCCTAATCAGCACAATGTACAAAATGTAGACATGCAAATTCCCCCTCTCTCCATGCTGAGCCTATTTTGAATGGTCACTTGGGTGGTTGCCATGATATAAGTAAACATTACTGATGCCAGGTTGTTTTGACTACGTCTGTAAAAACAGCCCATTTCCTATCTCCTTGGGGCGAAATAGCAAAATGACATTAACCATTAGCTTCTTTCCGCTGAGGTAACCATGCAGATACAGACTAACTCTTAGGGACTTTCAACACTATCTTTTAAAGATTTGTTTATTTACCTTTTTATGTGCATGGACGTATTATCTGCATGTAGCTATGTGTACCATGTGTGCAACTGGTGCCTCTGGAGGCCAAAAGATGGTGTCAGATCACCTAGAACTGTAGTCACAGACAATTGTTAGCCACTGTGTGGGTGCTGGGAACCAAGTTCTGGTCCTCTGTAATTTCTCCTAACTGTTGAGTCAACTATCCAGCCCCAACAGCCACCCTTTGATGACTACGTATTGAAGGATGGGCTTAGAGTTTAGGTTTGTAAATGGCACCACTAGGAATGGAGGGCTGTGTGGAGGAGGATAGAAGGGAACCTCATGGATTGGGCTTTTGGAAGAGGAAGGTCTGGGGGAGGAGAAGAGTAAAAAGGGATAGGTATGGCTACTGACCAGTTAACTGTGTGTCTGGCCTTAGATTTCTCCTTGGCAAGACAAGGGTGTTAACAGATCCATGCGGTGGGGTGGAGGTGAGGCCTGAGGAGAACATGAACAAGGAGCCCTGAGAGCCCAGGCTAAGAGATGGCTCACTACCAAGAGAGCTCACTGCCCCTCAGAGGACAGAGTTCAGCTCTCAGCATCCATGTTGGGTGGCTCACAACCAAGGTGCTTCAGCTTCAAGGGATCGGAATCCTCTGGCCTCTGAGGATACCTGAAATCGCCTAGACAAACACATAATTAAAAATAAAAAGTAAACCTTAAACACACACACACACACACACACACATACCACACACACACCACAGAGAGAGAGAGAGAGAGAGAGAGAGGCAGAAGGAGAGGGAGAGGGAGAGGGGGAGGAGGAGAGGGAGAGGGAGAGGAGGAGAGGGAGAGGGAGAGGAGGAGAGGGAGAGGGAGAGGAAGTTGGTGAGGAGGCTGGACTTTGCCTGGGTGTTGAAAGGAGATTCTTCCCACTTTGGCCCTGCTGGTAAAAGTCACACATGCACATCAGGTTCTTACTGACAGGGCCTGGGTTCTCTTTAGCTCCTCTCCACTTTTAACTCCTTGCACTGTGACAAGATTCTTCAGAAAGGTGGCAGGCTGCCCTTACCTTGCTCTCATCTTTGCTGGGGGCAGCAGAGTGCCCCAGCAAGGCCCTAGGGGGCTGACCAGAGTAGGTCACCCCTTAGCTTGGCCACCCAGCAGTCGGTGGGGCTCCTGCTGCCTTACTCAACCCTTGATGAGTCAATGTCCTCATCTGCAAAATGGGGTGCAGGGTAATAATGACACCTACCCCAAAGCGTGGTCGTAGAGACTGGTTGACGTAATGGGTGCTCAGCCCTCCCAAATGGACATACAGTAATCACTAGATAAATGTGGTGGACGGCTGTGTCTGGTTTCCTCCGACTTGCATTTCTGGTCTTCAGCTTAGTCACTTCCTCTGGGCGCCTCCTTCTGCTCCTGAGGACCTGAGGACAGTTGCACACTCCCAGCACACATACCCGTCTTCTACCATAGCAACGACAACTGTCGCTTCTCATGGTCCCATAAGTGTACAAATTCTGTGAAGACAGGGATCGGCCGTTTACTAGGAGGCACAAGAAATAGGCCCGTGTAGTTACTGAATAAATTACCCAGAACAAGGGTCCCAGTGGTCCTCCGGGTTTGGCGGAAAGCACTGGGGTCGTGAGACCAAATAGACAGGTGTCAGAGAACTGGACCTAGAGCGTGTGCAGGTAGACTGGACAGGGAGATTCTGAGAGGATGACGCTCAACTTTGGAGAGAGAATGAGGCTGGACGGGTCTAGCGAGCACTTTGGCCCCGCCCCTTCCAGGCTCCTCCCAGACCCCGCCCCCCGGGCTCCTGCCCTGCGGAAGCTACAGCCTCAAGTGTCTGAGCCTCCCCTACGCTGGGTGCGCCCCGCACGTTTATCCTGCCCCGGAGCAGTGCCGGCACCCAGCCCTCGTTCCACAGCCGCTGCGAGATGCTGCGCTCCACGTCCACCGTCACCCTGCTCTCAGGTGGCAGCTCCAAGTCGCCTGGGACACCCAGTAGGAGGGTGAGTAGCTAGCTGGAATAGGAGCTGCCGCAGTCTCCTGCACCCATCCCTGTCGACCCCTCTGTAGAGATGTGGGGGGGAGGATACTTAGGGGTCAGCTGCAGGCCACCGAGATACTTCATCTTGGCTCAAGTTTCCCGGCCTGTCCTGGACTGCACAGTGATTCTCTCTCTGGACACACCGGCGGCTGGAAGAGAAGGCTTAGGGGACTTTCTGGAATAGTCAGAACCTTCTTCTGCTTGTCTTCACTGTTAAGCTAAGCTTAAACGTGGCACTAGTTAAAAAATGGCAAGAAAGAGGTTTCTGAGGTGTCTACCATGAGATACCCAAGCAATGGATGTATTTAAAATGCCAGCTTTCCTCCATCTCTTGGTTAGGAGCATCGTCCGTGAGTCCATCCACCAGTGACAGAGTGCCTCTGGTTGAGGAACGCGCTTTGTCAAGGTGGCAGTCTGTTTGCAGGTCAGAGCTGAGCTGCTGACCACCACCGCAACTGTGTAGGTCTCTAGTTTATGCAGGCAGGCACTTTCTTCTTTGTAGCACTGGGGCCAGTCCTAAAGCCCTGGGCATCATCTCTAGGGAGGTGTCCCCGTGGAAATCTGTTTACTTAGGCACAGTCTGTGCTCTGCCTGTTCTCGGGTGCTCCGTGAAAGCATGGTCAAGTTCACATTCCACGTCCCTTCTAAGATCACAGCCTCAGAGAACCCTGTTAGAGCTCGGCCTGAGGCTTTTTAGTTTTGGTGTCATGATATTGAATACTCACCTCTTCTCTGATCATAAACAGGTTAAGTCCAGGCCAAAAGCCCCTTCAGTAGTCAGGCCAGTTTGCTTGACTTGTAGATGTACTCGTTGACCTTACAAGCCGTCTTTCTTTACCTATACACGAAAGGCATGTGTTGCTTTTGGGTGTGGGCCAAGTGAAGGTGTGTGTGTGTGTGTGTGTGTGTGTGTGTGTGTGTGTGTGTGTGTGTGTGTGTGTGTGTGCATGGTAGACACTCAAGGCTGACAGATTCTGGTTGTTTGATCATTAGCGTCATGAAGTAATCGTCACATTTGGTTAGTAGGTTTCCAACCATAGTCCTACCCTACTGCAGAAAGGATATTTGACCTTCCTTTCCCATAGAAAGCTTTGTTAATTGGAACAAAATTTTGGTTGACAAAAAAATGACATAATTGAAAAGATAGTCCTGAGCTATGTGCAGCACCCCCCAACCCCCAGGGAGATTCTGGTTGAGGTAAGTAGTGGGATCCTGTGGGTGAATACAGATGTGGCTGGCACATTCAATAGCATCTGAGGATATTTTCCCCCTTGAATGGTAATTTGACATTTGGACACACTTGTGGGGTAAGACTGCATCAAAATGCTGGGCTGAAGAACTCAGGCCTCTGACTGGAACATGCTATCACTTCTTGTGGACAGACTCTTTTTTTATTATTTAAATTAGAAACAAGCTTGCTTCACATGTCAATCCCAGCTCCCTCTACCCCCATCCTCCCCTATTAGGTTCACCCCCCCCCAATCCCCACTCTGATCCCCAGGGAGGGCGAGGCCCTCCATGGGTGATCTCCAGAGTGGACAGACTATTTCTAAAGGTTCTAGGTTCTAGGTTCTAGGTGTGTGTATGTGTGTGTATGTGTTGGTATTGGCAGGGCCAGTGTGTTGAGAAGCTATGATGTGTTGATTGACTAACTGACTCACGGAACATTTATAGATCTATTTCTGTAGGCTACAGGGCTGGGCACTCAGCTCTACTCTGCTCCTTGAGGCAGACATTGTCACAAATGATAACTGTGATGACTTTTGTAGTGAGCAAAGTGTTTCCAGGGTTCAGTGACGCTAAAAGGAAGGCTCTTTCTGAGGTGTGTGAGGCAAGCCTCTCCCTGAAGGTGAGCTGCTAGTTAGTCTTCCAGCAGGAACAAGAGTTTGGAGGCCAGCTGACTGATTGTGAAGAGAGGCTTATCATTTCTCTCAGTGGATGCTTGACACACACTGTAGGATAATGTGTGTCAGACCTGCCTTGGAACAAAACACTGATTAAAAAAAACCTTTTAGAAACACAAGAAAATAAAAGTATTCACTAAATAAATAACCATGAGAAATGTTTCTGAAATTGAAAAGTTTTCAAGAAATTCTGTATCCTCTAGCCTCTTCCCTGGTATTGGACAAGAGATAGTCTCAAACTGGGATGCTTTGGGGGTATGTTCAACCTGTCACTCTGTGGGCTGCCCATGGCCAAGGTTAGCTGTGAATGCAGTCCAACACAGAGTCACGGATGTTCTTAAGACACCATGCCATGCTTGTGTTTGTTCTGTAACTCCACTGCCTGGTTCTTGAGTGTGAGCGCTGCAAAGGTCAATGCCGAGTCTCAAAGTCAAAAGGTCTGCTAGCTACTAAAATAGAGCAGCTTTATCCAAAGGGCTTATCAAAGTAGTGGCAGTGGGGAAAACCAGGCTGTGCTGTCACAGACTTCAAGCCAACCAGAAGTGGTGGTGGCAGGTGACACTGTGCAGGAGCTGCCCTGAGTCAGCTGCAAGGGCAGTGTGGCCCACCAGGCTGTCACAGGCCACCCTTTGCTCAGTGACTGCCACCTGCAAATGTGCTTGCTTCCCTCTTATCTGAAATCATCCCTGGGTGCGGGGAGTCTAGTGGGGTGGGCGATTTCTGTTAGCCGATAAACAAAACTCCGGGAGGTGTTCATACACACTAACCAGTGGGAATTAAAAAAACATATTTGCCTTCAAACCAGTTGTGCACTAAAAATAGTTTTATCTATGGCAACAGTGGGAAGATAAAGTGTTTGGAGAATAGGTGCAGCTAGAAAGATGACCTTGAGGGACGTGGGGGTGGAATTTGGGAAAAAATAGCTGTATGAAGGATTTCACTGATTTTGAAAGGGATTTTGTAATTAAAGGTTAGCCTCACAGCCTAGGCCTTTGAAATGAAGTCAGTTATGGGGCCAGGTTGTGTGCCTGGAGTGGAAGGCACATGCTGTCTCTGGCAGCTCATCCCCTGGGCTAGAGCAGAATGGACTGTGAGGCCTGTCACCGGTCACAGGGTTTCTCCTGTACTGGATTCTGTTGAGAAAAGGAGGCCTGGCTGCTTGTAGCTGGTATTGTGACCCTTTGGTGGAGTAAAACAGCCAAGCCCAAACAAGGCATGGGCTAAGACTGTTTCCTAGCCAGCGCTTCCCTTGGCAAAGGCCTTCTCTCTCTTAAAACCCAGCCGAGGCCTGCCAGTCATCACTCCCTGCTGATGCTGTGCTCACCACAGTCGTGTTCCTGCCTTGTTGGTTCAAACATAAGGAATTCCCCTTGACTGGCATGTGAAAGGGGCTGGCAGGTGTTCGCCCAGCTTCTTCTTCTCAAAGGAGGAAACAGTCTGCATGGCTCTGTATCCTGTATCCCCGTGGAATACCAGGAGGGTGTGTACATAATTACCATCTAGGATCAGAGGAAGGGACGTGGGATTTTGGGGGAATTCAGCCTCTGACGGAAGGAAGCCAATTGCAGTATCCACTGAGGGAGGGAGGGGATTTTCATTGCATTCAGAAAACTGCCTGGCTTCTGCTTGGGGTCCTCTGAGCCAATTCCTGACAGGCCAGGCTGTGGTCCTAGAACCGTAGCATCACTGGAACTTAAGCCAAAGACCTCTGCCACTAACATCTGACAGTTACAGGCTCAGAAAAGCACCAGCTTCCCCCCCCCTTTTCTTTTGTTTTCCCATCTTGCCTTGTGTAGTGTAGGGTGGTCAGACTTGGGGCTTTCAAGGACACTTGGTTTATGGGGAGTTCCATGTTTATTCTGCAGCGTGTGGAGAGGAAGTCTAGCCTTGTTCCTAGGTCACTGCAGAGGCCTGGAAGTGGTCCCTGCTGATGTCTCACCGTGCTGTGCACCTGCATCCAGGCAAAGGACCTGGAGCTCCATGTCCCAACCACGCTTCTTGGTGGCTGGCACACCCTTCCGTGTCAGCGAGCCTCGTTGCCTGATCGAGTTCAAGAGCTGACTCGCTGGAGTTGAACCTGGGGTTCAGTAATTCATCCATTACCTGCTTTATGGTTTAAAATGGCCCCAGTACTTTTCCAGCGTGTAGAATAATGCAGTGGTGTTTACTTCTTTACATCTTCCGATGAGCTGTGTCTCCTAAATGTCAGTTACATCGATGGCTCATATCCATTCTTTGTGGAAGACAATGATCTTTTCTAGCATGCAAAAGGCTGCCACCTGCTTCTTCTGCTTCAGGAACCTCTGCAAAGCCAACCTCCTAGTGTAATGTTCAGGACCCTGACCTGACTTTTGTCTTTCTTGTCCTTTATCTCTAACTCTTTCCAGGCATTCACGGACTTCTACCTCCTCAGATCTTAGCACTTTGGGTATATTCTATGGCTAGTATAGAGTGATCCAGAGAGAGCTGGGAGAGAAAGGGCAGTCTCCTGCCTCCTCCTGGTGATTTTTGTGTGGCGGCAGGCCTGACACAGCAAAGAAGGGCGCTTTCTCATGCTGAGAGGGGAGATCCAATGTTGTTTTCCCCTCTTTGCTTCATGCTCCTCCCCTACTGAGAATCTGAATCTGCTCCGAGCCCTCATCTCCTCAAGCTTGTGCAACCCACAGTTGTGTGAAGTTGTGACCACTTGCGAAGCTCTAGAGGTGCATTATGTTAATATAGTGTTTCCCACACAAGCACAGGTCCTGTGTTCAAGCCCCAGAACCCATGTGAATAAAATGAAATGAAATAAGATAAAATGAAAAGCCAGGCAATGGGGAGGCAGACACAAGCAGATCCCTGGGGACTGACGGCCTGTTTGGTGAGTTCCAGGCTACTGAAAGACAGTGTTTCAGTAGAAAATCAAGGTGGGAGGTACAAGGCATAATGGCAGCCAGACTTCCAAAGAAACCACACACCACATACATTTGGGAAAGGAGAGCTTAGGAAGAGAAGTCCTGGGATCAAGCCTAATGCCTCAGTCCTACCTGGGAAGGATGCAGGTAGGATAGAAATGCTG